GAGAAGACTCATCTTGTCGTACTTTGAGGATAACAATGGACGTACTACAGGAGGTAGGCCAGAGATGTGGTCTACTTGTACTCTGTGGAGAGTCTTGTTGTAGTTGCATCTAATGGGTCAAAACAATGGTGGGTAATAATGCTTTCCAAGCTAATTCTTTGTAATAAACAAAACTTACCAAGTTTAAAAACGATATCTGTGACGAGGGCTCTTACCCAAGTGATATACATAAATTGATATAATTAAAAACTGAGGAACTGGTCATGTTTCTACGTTGCAAGGATGAAAGGAAGAAGTGAATGGAGGGAGATAAAGAGGGAAGCAGCCACACAGTGTGTTTTCCTATGTACTAACATGTTTGAGGCAGATCCCTTGTGTCTGCCTACTTGTTCCCAGCTTCAGATTTAAACTCCATCTTGACAGCCTGTGGGTACTCGCTTCGCACAGTACGTCACAGCATCACCACATCTCGGCTGATCAGTAACTACCTGGAGAGACAGTGAGTGACTTTTATTGTAGGCGGTGTACAGAAAATGATTTGGAACCTTTATACCTGCTGTAATAACTCTTAGTATACTTACTGTAACCTAGCTTTTTATTGAGAGCATTTGCCTCGTCATCACTGCTTCTCGCTTTAATAAGCGTTATTTTCATGTGAAAATTTCGAGTCAGTCACTCATATTTCAGGTGTAAAATATTAGGGGTGTAAGGCTATCTCAATCGCTGAAACGTTTTATTAAATTAGTATCAGCTGTAAAAGTTCTCTGTACGATCTTCAGATCAGCAATTTCTACTGCCTGGAAAAAACAAGTGATTGAAAGAGCATTATCATTGGCCTGGCATTTCATGTTTCAAAAATTTACGTTATCCAGTCTGTTTTCCTTGCAGTTATGATAATGTCAATGTTGCTTTCTTTAAACTCAAAATATTATGACATTTGTCCTCGTTGGAGATGATATTATTGCCTGTGCATCACCGGAAGAAGACCCACTCATACAGATTCTAATATCGTATATAAAGGATGTAACGCTGCCCTGATGTGTGTCATGCCTCTGTCGGATAACAGAAGAGCATTAGAAGAAGTGTTCATTGTTGCGACCACTGATTACACATTGCTGATTATCCTTTGAGTCAGATTTGATAGCAGGATCCAGAGTCGCATGTCTGCTCTCACAATAAATTATTTTTGCCTACATTCTGTGCGCAGTAACTTCTTGATCAACTCTTCTAA